ATTTCAGCGCCGATCGTCGCGCAAAAGACTGCGCGCGAACGCCTCGCGCGTCTTGTCGGACGCTACACGCACTTACAGCGGAATGGATGCCTCGTAGGCGCGTCACGTGCGCGGATTCGTCGCGGAGGTGTATACGCAGGCATGTGACACGGATTGATTCCCGCGCCGGGGCGGAAGTCTCCCGCGATTACTTATTTATGAGGCGCGCAAGAGCGCGACAGCGGAGCTCGCCGCGGGGCGTGCGCCCGCGTCAAAGCTGTATATGCCGAGCTGTCGCTCTTGTTATTATCGGCTGGCGTCGTCGCTCGCGACGATTGCGCGCGCGATGAAGTCCCTAGCGAGATACAATGCGCGATTTGTGTACGGGACGAGGGGATCTTACGATGCTTTATGTTTAAAGGGCTGAAAATGTTATGTCTGGTGTGCTCTGCGTGCCCGTTATTTCCGGCATATTTTCGCACTCCGCAATTTCTTTCTCAGTAAGAAAATGGTTTTCTGTTGACAACTGTGGTCCATACTTAATTTTATTAACTCTTCGCGGTTTACAACCGACGATCATGTAACTCGAAATCAATCGAATATAATTTCTGATTTGTAGAAGTAATATTCCAGAACACATTCACATTATCTATTGCTACTCAGGCACAATACCAGTATGCATAATTGTTCTAAACTGAATTAGTAGACAATTTATTCATTTTTAGTAATGTTATTAAACCCTATCAGTCTCTATATTATCCGAATCGAAAACGTTCTCAAATGTGGACACGTGACGTTCAAATGACATCTGTCGTATAACGTCACTGTAATATTTCTTAACTGATAAATGATATGAACTTCAAATTCTTTGATTCAAATACGTGTTAATACGAAGGAAAAAATTATCATAGCTTGCGTAAAATGCAGTCTGCACCTAGCATATAATAGCCGTGGCACGAATTTCGAGGTTTGTCGGACGGCTTACACATTCGAAAGATGACGTGTTTATTCATTCGTTTTCCGTTTCAGCGATCATCGGCAAACATTGCACTCACAGCGTTACGTCGCTACTTTCTCTTGTGATTCATCGCGTCTTGTAAATTAAAAACTTATCTCTGAATAATTATCGAATTTGCATTTTATTTCATTTTTCTACTTTTATGTAGCCGACGATGTTTCGCTGTGGCTATTGGTAGGGAGATAAAAACGCTCAGCCAGCGGGCAATAGTGAATTTTTATTCGTCGAATCGCTGAGTTGACTTTGTCGAGAAGAAAAGTCGACTCTATGGCGGCGCATTGATTTCAGAGAGGTACGACTCGTTGTGCAATTTGTTTCGGAATTGGTACCCCAGTTACGGCAGGAAATGTCGATTTTGGAATTGGTCCTATTAAAATACAAAGCTAAAATGTGTACTGTGTAGGACGAATGGACCAGTGAGAATAAGATTATACCGCAGCACGTTGTTGCAATTGTAGCGGTAAGAGAGCCTATTCTAAAATGTTAACTTGGCTCCAAGTAATTACACGTATGCTTCGTTTATAGCAAAGCGTTAAAGGAAAATTGTCCCGGCTATAATATACCAGTTGGACTAAGACCCTGAGATAGGTAAAACAATTTATAAAGTCGGGAGGCGAGGATTAACTAATCAATCTTAATCTTCGGGACCTGATTCACTACGAAATGCTTATTCAAGGTCCATGACTCCCGAGATATTTATGACAATTGAAAAAGTTACCAGTTGTTACATCGATTGTCGTAGTATGTCATATTTTGACGATATTTTTGGAGATTCAGAAAATAATGTACTCAATTTAGGGCTATACTGTAGTCATCTAATATTGGCAATCACTAATGAAATTTTTGGTATAAGCGATTCTATCTGCACGTAGCCAGAGACAACTCCAAATCTTATATAGTTTTTGGTTGTCTTAGATTACTACAGAATTTTAATTGGATTCTTGTTAGGCCATGAAAAATAATCTTAAATTGGTTTGTTTCATTAAAATTAAAAAATGTATTTCGCAAATGTTTTTTTTATTGCCCGATATTACGTAAAGAGCGATATTAGTCACAGATTCGCCGGGAAATCTGCAGATTTATCAAGCTACACATTAAACTCAGTGCCAGCGGAAGCTCGACGCATCCTCGCGCGTTCAAATCGCCGCAAGACCTCGACCCAATCTCTGAATCCTGCCGAAGGTTAGATAAAAACATGAACAAGAAAGATTGGAAAAGCTCTCGATTTTAATTACTCCGATAAAAGAAAGGCACGAGAATTGCAACGCTCATATAATACCTTTCACCTTGTGCACACACGGGGTGAAAGCCGAGGCTTGGCGTGGTGCCGATTTTTAAATAGTAAGTCGCTCGATATAGAGGAAAGCGTTGAGCGATTGTTAATTGCTTTCTACTTTTCTTTGGAGAACCGTTTCATATGCTAATCGTCGGACTCGTGTTTGACAATGACGTTGAACTCGGTTTTATTCAAAATGCGAAAAAGGCAGTCGAGTGAAAAAAGTGACTCGCAAGCACCGCCTTTTTGAAGTCAGAGCCTCAATGCCGGCGAATAGATTGTTGATAGAAGTGAGCAAGGCTTTTTTTATTATCTACTAAGAGATTTTTATGGACCATTACTCGTAAACTATAGAATATCTAATTATTTTAACGATAATGATTTACGCAATAACTTTTCTCCTCATAATATTTCTATAATTAAGTTGTAATGAACATTAGTAGTGAGCCAATGTGAATAAGCGGGCACTCAATGGAGGTGAGAAAGGCTTATTACGTCATTTTAACAATTTTTCCATTTATAATGTTTTTGTGTACAGCCAACGATAAACGATTAACTTTAATAAGCAAGGTCCTTAAAAGAATCGCAATTAAAACTTTCGATTCGATTGATTTTCTATCGACAAGCTTCGGAGAAACGACCGTTACATTTTGCACAATTATCTGTACATGCTTCCAAAAACAATTGGCGATCCAAAGGAAATATGTCGATTAGGATCCTAAACGAGCGTAATTCGCAGTACTTGCGCGCGCGGCTATATGACTAATAGGCCGCGGCTTTCACGAGTGCGTTTTCTCTGCGCCGCGGCGCGGCGACAATACAAAAGCGGCAAAACGGAACCGAGGCGCATTTTCTGTGTCAGTCAAACGTGTTTTAGCGCGCAGCTTACGACCGAGCGTGCTGCTCTGCTTTTGTTTTTTCTGTTTCATATCCAGCGGTTCTTGCGATTATCACTCGAGAAATTCTGCGATCGCTTGTTCCCGTAAAAACATGCAAATCACGCTCCTCTTTGCAGCCTTGCGAGACGGATCTGCTGTGTTCTCCTCGGCCACACTCGGCGCTTCGATTTGAGGCGAAGCGCGTCGCGCACATCCGCGAAAACGAAGATAACCAACGGTGCATTATGCCACGATCGCGGCCGCAATCTACGCGTCAGGAATGCAATAGGTCAAGTATGCAGTAATCGCTTTCGACGGCTATTTCGTTTTTTATCGTTGCGCAACGCTGGAAACCTTTGGTTTTAGGCTCGCCGACCCGGCATTTCCGCAAATAAAGGACTCGTGGATTATGCACCGGAATAAACAAATTTCGCCTCGGAGCGATCGACGGCTGATCGGTCGTACTTTCCCTTTTTTTCCAGCGCAGCAAGAGAGGAAACAAGGGCTCATCACTCTAATGCCGCATCGGAGAGCCCGAAGTGGGCAATCATTGCGCAATCGATGCCGCAGCCTTTGCCGCACGGACGAGATTGTTCTCACACGTGTAGATAGCGAACTGGCTCGTCTGTGCTTTTCCTCCGTCGTCGTTGTGCGATTTTAAAAGACCGACGCGGCTTTATCGGGAATGTCGCTCGATCGCCTTTCTTGTTGAATCGTTGAAAATTGCTCGTGTATCGTTTAAATTGCGTCCGACGATACGTTAGTAGTAGCAATTTGGATATCTTGCGACCTCGACGACTTAAATGATCGTTGATGTATCGCGGCGAAAAAAAACGCATCGTCAAAGCGACCAAGAATGCGCGAGACTAGCGGACCCGAAATCGACGTCGTTTCAGCAGAGCTATCCGGCTATTCCGATGGCAACTCGTTTGAAGGAGTTCCAGGCGAAACGAAAATAAGGCAAGGCTAGCCGCCGCAAACAAAAGCTCTTCGCGAAACAATTCATCCTCGCGCCTCCCTTGCGCGCATATGGCCGTAAGCGCAACGAGAGAGAGAGAGAGAGAGAGAGAGAGAGAGAGAGAGAAAAATCTCGTAAAACTACCTGCCAGCCCGAGCGAGAAGTGCGCGAGGACGATCGACGTGTGCTTTATGCTTTACGAGCGCGCGCGAAATTTGTTTAAAAAGAAGCAACGGCACGCGGCGAGTCAGTGCGTTTTGATGTTTTGCGACGCGCTTTCATTTGCTGCAACGAGACCTTCGGCGCTCCGCTTTGTTTCGCGGCGAGCGCAGCAGAGGCGTAGTCTGCCGATTCTTAAAATTTACGAGGGAAGCTTTTAGCCGATGTCTCTGCCGAAGACGTACGAGGTATGCTGTTACGTATTGTTCCATGCTCAAGGTCAAAGCGCCTTTTCTTGCCAGTGAAATTTATACTTGGGCAAAATTACGCGCGCGGCGGTCGACGTTGCCCCGCCACGAGAGTGCCCCGCCAACTCTCGTCTTCCTCTCCTCCGCGGGCCCCGACCGACTGCCGCTGATTGAAATGCCAATGCGCGACTGCTCATAGGCCAACGTGCGTCGACGGCGCAGACGCCAGCTCGAGCTCAAGAGCGCGTTGCGCGCAATCAGCGCGACATCGCCCAAAGGTTCGTCGGTCTCGAGAAACCGCGTGACAGCACCTACTGATTCAACCTTACCGCGCGAGCTCGTCCGATTTACGACCCGGCATTCCTTTATTATTCGCGCCAAGGCAGTCCTCCTAGCTCCGCAAACTGACGAAGTTAGCATGCGGTTTTTTTTCGCATCGGTTGACATTATTCGAGGTAACGCGAAAAGAAAACGTCGCACTCACTTGGCGTATGCTTTCTCGAGCAGAGCCGGCCAAAACTGATCGCTGTGACGGCTTTGTACGAAAGCAAGTCGTCCGTGGACGGCCGGTAGTCGGTCGTCGACCAGCACTTCCACCCATGCGCCACACCACCACAATCGAAATCGAAAAACACCGGCGTACTCGGCACTTGGTGAATTTGGCGGCTCGCTACTGCTGCCTACTATTCCACTGCCGAAACCTTGATCCGCTGGTACGACTCGGTAGAATAGACCTTTGCTCAGGTGTAAGACGCCGAGGCAGGACACCAGCCATTTGTCACCTGTAAGGCAGACAATACAGATTTAGTGCGCGTCGTGTAATTGAGCCTCTTTAGAATACAATGCTTTTTTTATTGACAGTGCACTTTGCATTCTATAGTTGAAGTAATTTTTAGTATTTTTTTATATAAATAAATTACGTTATGATTGAACATTTAGTAACACGATCTACAAACTTGCAGTAAGTATTTACTTAACTTATTTAGTATAATTATCGATATATTCTTTCGTAAATGTCTATCCGTAAACGTCATTTTTTATGGAACAGAAATAATATTTCCAATTACGATGATGAGTCCAGTACAGTTTGCCCCCTAGTGGATTGAACATCTGTTTCATTCAGCATTTCAAAAGACTTGCATTATTTTATCAACTTTGATGTATAAAGAAAAAGATCTCGATCAAGCGCACAGAATAAAAAGCCAAGAAAAAAAGTTAAAGGCAGTCTTTACAACTTCCACCGCAAACTTGAGTCGCAGGCGGAAAAGCACCACGTAATACACGGTGCAGTTTGTTTCCACGCTCGCTAACTTGCACGGCACAGTGCATTATCTATGGAACATCGCCGTCGCTGATGTTGGCTTTTTTTATAAATCACTCGCCGTAGACAGAACTCAGTGAAAGCGAATCGAGCATCGTTGTCAATAGCTTAAACGAATGGCCATTCAGCAATGTTTTATTACCGCATGCGAAGGAAAATGCGCTAATGAAGTGGAAGTCGCGTTTAGCAAATACCTCTTGTACGTAGCGCGACACATTGATGTTTTTTTTATGAAAAAACTTTCTCGAGCAAAAAAATAGAAACCGGAGCAATGAGCTCACGAGCTCAAGAATCGTGGTTCCTTTTATCCACCGATTCCGGCTGCTCTTTTCACTTTCACTCGTCGCGCAGCGCGTTGCGTTCGCGTTTCGACAGACACACGCTCGTTTCAAGGGCTCTCAGATGCTTCAGTTGCGAATTCAAGGTTGAACCCGTTGTCAAAGTTTATTGCGTTTAAAGTGTGACTTTTCACGATGTGCCGCTGAGAGTTTTATTTCAAAGAGTTACGGTACTTTGTGACATATGGATTTTCACGACAGCTATGCAAGGACAATTGCTTCAGAACTGCAATCGTTGTCATCGTGCTTTTCTAACTCTTGCACCGAGCATATCCACAACTCATAGGAGGAAAATGAAATACACGCGCGTTTTCCACGAGAGAACAGAATGAAATCCTTGTCGTGTAAAATTCTTGTCGTAACAACCGTGCGACACAATTTCCTCATTTCGCAAAAAATGAGATAGTCACAACCTACGCGCCTATTCACTTTCGCATTGTTCAAACAGCTCGAAGGTCGCCAATACAGGTGGTAATGTGTCGAGAGAATTCATAATAGAAATATAACGATTCCTCATCGGCTGTTTGCTCGTCAGCTGTAAAGATTATAAATTCAAATGACACGCAGGAGGAAAACACTGAAAGCTTGCCAAGCCATTTAAAGTAACGCGTAGACACTTAAAAAGGAGAGTTTATTTGAACGTCTTATTTCGAACCCCGTACGATCTCCCGATCGTTTTACGCAACATTTTTTATTGACAATACGAGACATACACGTATAAAAATGTCGAGAATCGCAGGGTAATGTAACAATGAAGCGAAACTTAATCCTGCGTGTCGACATTGTCGCGTACACGACCTACATTCGTCCGCGTATGTATCTTCGTTTCCGAGTTCAGTATCAGCCCACTCGCACCTTGTGAAATTTTTCATTATAAAAGCCTTGCTGAAAATTATAACATTTCGATATATTACCGAAATCAGAGAGGTTTCGTAACGTCCAAATTACCATGCTTTGAAGCTGAGTCATGCTCGCGGTGTAATTACAAGCCACCGAGAGTCGTTCATTAGATACTTTAATTGGAGGGACGCGATTATAAAACAGCGGAAGGGTGAGAAAAATCCTCTTAGCTTTAATTGCCATTACGAAAATTGCACGCTCGCAAAACAATGTTTGGCACTTCCACGTTCATCGCGTCTAGCTGAGCGACGAAGAAAAGCACGGTTGATATTCTTCAACGGCGCTACAGCTGCTTCCGATTATATGTATCTTTTTGCTGTTGTTTCGAAATAATCGTTATATACGTGCTCGCCGTTATCATTTGGGTGACTTGTAAAGTCCCTCGCATGCGTGCGCGCCGAAGGGTATCTTAATATTACCGAGCTTGTAACCGCGCTTGTTTTGCCTGCGGTGGTTACGATGCGACGCTGCAAACCGGTATTTATATATCCGCCCGAGATTTATTTATTTTTTGTTGGATTGTTTGCGCAAAATTTGCATGGGAGGATGTTGTGCAAGAGCGGTGGTTTCATGAGAGGTTTGCTTAGTTTTCTTTATAAAGCTTTGAGCATGATTTTTTGTGTTAGCTCGTTCACAGCCACAAGAGTATTCTTACATCTCTGGCATTCTTTGAAGAAATGCTCTCGGTTTAAGATAGAAATTCTTCGTTTAAGAAAATGTTATATTGATCGGTTCCGCAGTTTTTAGGCAGGTAAACGAAATAACATTTTCAGAATTAAGAGTAACTGACGCAATACTTTAATGTGAAAATCAAAATTCCGCCGGACAACAAACGAAAGCAATCCTCGATCACCGTTCAATGACGGAATTGAAATCCATGGGTAAAAACGTCTTGTGCTTGTCGTATAAAAAAAATCGAGACACTGATTTCCTCTTGTTGCCAACATCGACGTCTGCATACAAGACTTACATCACGCTTGCGCCCGCCAAGACAATGGAGGTACATAGTAATCGTGAAAAAAAAAACAAGAGAGAGAGAGAGAGAGACGCGCAAGTCTCCTTGCACTTTGCAACTTTGACTCTTTCTCCCACGTTCTCGAAAGGATGGATCGATTTTTCGAGGTCGAAGGCGCTTTCCGACGTGACTGGAAAACGCTTTGGGCTTGATTATTTTTTTTTCTGTCAGCGAGAAATAAGCGAGAGAGAAGAATGATCTTTTTAGCTTTGGGCATGGGTCTTCTTTTTTTTTGACTTTGACTGGTGATGATTATCTTGCTGTTGGCCGGATGGATGGAAGTTGTATTGTTTGACTCTCGGCGAAAGTCAATGTTCGTTTGTCATGGGAATCGTGATTTCTTTCGTGGTAGATCTTTTTGTTTGCTTTTCATATTATTTGACAATTGGAGAGAGATTTCTCGACGGATTTTTCAACGATCAATACTGAATTATTTCATGTTACGTATTGAAATATCTAGTTAGATATAATCGCGTCCACATATTCTGCCTCGATGAAAATCATTCATCTAAAGATAGTCGTTTGAAAATCCTCTTGTAAAAAAGTGAAGATAAAGTGAAGCTAGTTTATTTGTGAGCTGATTGGCTGAATGATAATCACGTGATCAGCAGCTGTGGGCAATTATCTATAGGTATACGTCGTCTACGTTCATGAAAGTTTATTGCCGATTTTTGTGAATAATTAAATGTTTGAAAAGTGCATCAGTATAGTGGGCATGAATTTCATATGAATTGATCGCTTTAATTATATTAACCTCAAAATAATGACCGACTGATACCTCAGTAGTGAAGTTAATTCAATTTTGCTACAAGCGAAAGTTTAACTTTAAATGGCCAAATTAACCTTAAAAGGACAGATATAAATCGACAGATTATCACGATAAAATATTGTACAGTTTCGTCTTTATTGAGTTACGTAAATATTATTAGAAAATTTGTTTGAAAAGGCACTAATTAAAACTATGAACGTTCTATGCCGCATTGTTATTTACATTGTAGGATATGATTATAGAAAACTATAATGTTTTGAGAACTTACAATACATTGTTATCGTATTTTCCAAACTTTTGAATGATGATTTTTTAACACAGAATTTAAGATGAGAAAAACTTTATTAATATTTTGTAATCATGAATACCTATATAATTGCATATTTATTTATCAATAATTCATATCGTCGATTATATCTCATATCAAATCAAAGGAATATCTAATATATAATAACGCAAATTAAATTTTCGAATGTTATATTTCACCGATACATATGCGATCTATTTTCGTGCATTAAAATAAATGCAGAAAATAAAAGAAATACGCGAAGCGCGTTAAACGTCACTAGTCATATATAAAATGGATATCCATCGATATGGCATTGGTAACTTTAGTTGTGCATCTGCCACCTATCGAGCACCTATTGAGCAAAAATACAAGATTATTACATAACGCGCCTACAAATTTTCGTCACAGTTCAACTCTACTTCGTGCATCAATGAGTCTTAAAGAAAACGATCTTTATTTTATACAGGCGTGAAATTTCAATGCAAATATATCGAGAAACCAAAGGCTAGGCATCTTGTAGAATGAGTTGAAAATATTACTGTACGCGCAAAGATAAGAGCACAGTGATTCATCTCGTTTACAAAAGAGAAACTAGATCCTCATCTCCAATCAAAGCTCATTCCTTTGGCGTGTTGTTCGACACGGCGATAAGATAACAATCTCGCCCTCGCGCGCTTCCTGCTTCTGCTCTTCCGGCTGGCGTCTTAAGTGCTCTTGACCTTTGCATTTTCTTTCCCATGGAGAGCCGGCGCTGGCAGCAGTGCGGCGCTCTTCGAACGGACGCGAAACGAGCAAAGCTGGAACTAGTAAGCCGCGAGCGAATCGTGCATCCGTTCGTTAAATCATCGCAGTTTTACTGGCGACACGCGGCCGATGACGAGCCATTCAATTTCACGCTTTCGTTGCTGGATCAGCATGTACGTGCGTAAATGCCACAATGGATTTGTGGAAAAGCCGGCACTTACTTTTTTCCACACCATGTACTCGTTGTTGGTGGACGATCAAACGCACGGATTTGTAGGGGGTTGCTGACTTTACGATTTTATCGGATCGTAAGATACAAGAGTGAGCGTGATTGATCGTTATGGTTATTACGCCAGGCAGCTTATATTTTGACTTGTTTGGCACGAGTGGTGCACGCGCGAAGATGATATCGACCGTTCGTTGCTGCGATCGTCACTGATATTGTTGATGGGTTTTATGCCTGATACGAGCCTGCCCCGACGACTGAGCTCGCGCGCGCCAGTTCATTATCGAACGAGCGTTCGTCTCGGGCTCGCGATCGATCGCTCGTTATTATTATTATTTTTTCCCTTTTATATCGCAGTATGATACACGCGAACACACCTCGAATCCGCGCAACCCGTCGTAATTGCAATACACAAGCAAAGCCAAGCGCCGCGAGTGGAAGGAGCGAACGAAGACGGCTGCACTCGTCAAGTCACGCTTGTATGTGCGCTCGGAACGCGACCGGAAAAAGGGCGCAGGGTGATTAGCGTGCAACAGGTTTTTGCATATATATATTGTAGGTATCATTACGCGCACGCGCCATCGCGTCGGAGGAATGCTTTCCTCCCTCGCGAGGATATTTCTGCGAGGGTGAACCGGAACCATTCCTTTTTCTCTTTTTTCTTCTTATTTATTTATTTATTTACTTTGGCGCTTTTGCCGGCTGCGCAGAGGAGCATTTTGTTCTGAAAATTCGGGACGTATTTATAATAGACGCTCGTTAAAATTCAAGAGAAATTCTCTCGGGGTAATTTGGCCGCGTAATTGCGCACTGAAAGATCCAGGAAGTCCAAGTCGTACGTAATAATTGGACAGTTTATTAAAAATAGGCTGTCTTGAGCGATAGCTTAAGCCCTTTACAGCTTCTCCTAAGTATAAAAAGAATCAGGCCTAATATTGGCCGTATATTGTGTGTAGGTCTTCCAAGAAAAGCCCATAAATCTTACGTAATCCACCGCATTCTGTTCTTTCGCTCAAAAGACCACCGTGAAATGTAATAATAATCCCCAGAGAGAGGGGGGGGGGGGGGAGGATTTGCAAGGTGATGCGATGATGATTGTTTTTTTTCGGCGCCGCTTTTGTTCTTCTGCAGCTGAAATTTCCTCGCATCCGTTTTGCGCGAGCGAGTCTTGCACTGATTTCGTAATTATTCGTCGACAAGGGTTTTTTTGATTTATCGCGCACTCCTACTTCCTTTCCGCACTTTATGTTGCGCGTGCAATTGAAACAAGCGGAATCATCCTATTCAACGTACTTGACTTTGCTTATAATTATACGACTGTGAACTCTATGAATAAAGAAAATTCAATGTCAAAATCGTCTTCGAACAGCAATTAATGCAATTGTAAATAACCGATTGAGTCTTCATGGTAAGTGAAATATCAATTAAGTAAAGTAATAACAGTAATAAAACAAACGTCGATTAATTGATTTTTATGGTATCGCTAAGGATTTTTGGTGTCGATTACCATTCATCACTAAAATTAATTCATTGACGTAAAATCAACGTAGCCGCAACCAAACTAAAAAATACGCAAAGTTCTTGTCATGTCTCTCATTATACGTATACTCACCCAATTTTCCAGGTATAACGTCGAACTGTGTCGGTGTATCGCTAACGAAAATTGGACGATTGCAGAGCTCCTAGAAACAGAAAAAATCAGCACATCAGGATTTAATCAATTAAGTTAATTAAATTACAAACTATTTAATTATAAAGAGCTCCAGAGATTGCGGGCTTTTTCATCGAATGGTTACGGTCTCATTCGAGCCGGAAAAGAAAAGAATTCCTCAAGCGATTGTTTTTAATTGATCGATTCGTTGATTATTGGTCAAGTGAAATTTATAAGATTCTGCCGACGTGTAATTAATGGTTTTTTTATTGTGTCCTATATAAACAAGATATCGCCTTTTTATAAATTTTTATCCTCGTGTTACAATTTAACTATACTTTATGAAAATAACAATCCGCTCGATTTACTCATTTGTACCCTAGCCCGTCACGTTCACTTATAGGCATCATTGCAACGAGAAGCACGGCTTCGGTTATTCTTTGAATGCAAATCGTTTAGCGAAAACCTACGTGTGCGTGCGACAGGTCCACGTAACATTTAATAACGTATCGCTTCTTTATTGTAGTGCTTGCGTACCAAACGAGCTTGCGAGCGAAAATGAACTCGTGAAAAAAAGAAAAATGAGCAGAGTTCCGCCTTCGTTTAAAACATCGTTAAAAGTCGCAAAGCAACTCTCTCTCTCTCTCTCTCTCTCTCTCTCTCTCTCTCTCTCTCTCTCTCTCTCTCTCTTCTGTCCGTGCAATGTATAATTAATGAGTTACAAAAAGTAAAGACGAAAGATATCGATTGGTCACTTCATTATCGTTTAATGCGTTATTTGTGATTATTATTGAGGTCACGAATTCGCAAGTACGTAAAAGTAGTAACCCGTACAATTATTTTTCTCGTAAAAGCGGACCGGTGGACTAAGACATTCGTTATTTTACGATAGATATATTGGCTTTGGAAATTTAGCGATCGACGAATGCTAATTCGCGTAAATACTACACGTCGCCTTTGCGAACGACGTTCAGACAAATTTCAACTTTCTTCTATGTGTCTTGAGACAAACCAAGAGGAACTCTATCCGACCTGTCGCTCTGAAGTAGAAACTACGCGCAAACAAAACTACATCTGTTGGGTTTAAGCAAAGTTAAGTTGTCTGTTTCGGTACAAAAAACTCCGTTTATCCGCACGCGAGGCAAGCCTCGCACAGTTATTCGACTTGAGTAAAATAGCATGAACGTATATACACACGTAATGTATATGCACGTCACGAGAGGACGATCTATGCGATGCAATTTGTAACGCGAGAGAGAACCTTTCTGCGCGCGGTAAAATGTACATGAGAGGTCCGCTATGCAACTCTCGCTACTCTATTGCACTATTTTAGGCGCCAACTGTACCGCAATATTGGACATTGTTGGACATTTGATTTTGAAGCTAGCTGTTTCCGTTGAAAATGCTTTTCTGTATTTTTCCTTTGCGATGTTGAATTGTGCCAATTAACGACGACTCAACAAAATAATAAGTACAAAAAAAGGGTGAAATCATAAAGATCGAAAACGCATGGCTAAAACCCTATGATGGTTTTGAATTATACTCGACTGGGAAGCGTAACAAATCTCCATTTTCACAATATTTTTTTTTAAACCATGATTACACGCCTAATGACCGAATCGAATAATTATCGACACTCTCTCTTTCTTTCTTTGTCAATTTCTTTCTCGGTGGAATATAGTATCTTTATAATTGGACGGTAATGAAAATGTTATATACTTCGTTTTCTGCTCAGAAGGGAACGAATAAGTGAATTAGCGCAGTTAATTTGTCTGATTTGCCAGTGTTCACTTGAACTTTATGCTTACCCGTGGTCTCTTCCATTGGAACTGAAATGGTGGCGTTTGATGATAGAACACAGACGCTTGAGTTGACGGGAAATCAGGATCCTCCCACAATTCGCCGCGTTTCAAGCACGAACGCTTGATACGCTCGTACTCGCTCATCACGTTCTGCAAACAGACCAAAAGACGGCTTTGTTATTTTGTGAGCCTTATATTTTTCTGTTTTTCTCAGATTGAAAATACGGAAATTGTACTGCAAATGAAACTTTCACTTTCGTTTATCGGGTCATTGATATTTCTTAAGTCATTCAGAGTCTTCTGCCTTTATCTTGTATGGATTAAAACTACGACAAATCTTGAGTGACATCATGAAAAAATTTATTTCTTACTTCGCCTTACTAAGAAAGTATAGCCTCCATTAAAAAAAAAAAAAAAAAAAAATCACTTTCATGCTTCTTTATTTTAATAACGAATCGTTTTTCCTCACAATCACAATGTATCCCATTGCTGTGGAACAGCATTGCATTGTACTGCGGAGCCCACATTTTTTTCAAGCGTTCACGCATGAAAATTAATATTCACAAGACAATCGCAATAATAACGAAATCTCGAAATGACCGCGAGCCCCACGGCGGAAAACCAATATCGCACGGCATCTGGATCTCAATGAATCGTTGAAAGGAGTGAATAAAGCAAAGCTCCGCGCGATAAATAAAACGGTCAGTAGCCAGCACAGCGCGCGAGTAGAACGTGTTGGCATATAGTTGTGCGCGGACGTGAAGCGTTGCGCAAGATTCCCACGCATCGCAAGTACGAGGTCGTCGACGGTGGCTGGTGGGCGAGGAGAGCGAGAGAGAGAGAGAGTTGACTATCGGACGAGAGCTTCCACGCATCGCAAGAGTTATGGATCGTTGCGCCGCTTCTATACGATTTATGGGGACGCGCTCGTCCGAGTAAGATACAGCGAAACAGCTTGTGGGCGATCGCCGGAGATGATCTTCTTTTTATTAGGTACCGTGCGTTTGGCGGAGGAAAGCCGATCGGCAAACCGACACGTATTTCCAGTCTGAGCGGTCATTTAAATGTACATCGAGACATTCATTGACCGATTGATCCGCGTGCAAAATTGACTAATCGTTTCGCCTAATGTATGCGCGTTCCGTCAAATTCACTTATCTGTCCTCCAGCGACCGAAGCAACGTACCTTGTGCGCTGATGAAAAAGGAAAAACACGCGAACGTAAATCAACAGGCACGAACGCTGTGCGCTGCGCGTGCGAGTCTCGAAGAAGCCGTCCTAAAGCTTGCAAAATTCATACTTTGCGTTGACAAGTAGCTCTCTTTGTTTACTGCCTCCTTGACTGATCGCCGGGGCGAGGCTTTGATTGCGCACGCCGAGGAAGCGTGTAACAACAGCACGCGCGTACGTGCGAGAAACGTCAGCTTTTTCTCTCTGGCGTTAAGACTCCGCAGCGACTCCCATTCCTACGTGGCGAAATTCACGCTACTGTAAATTCGCCCCGGGCATCACGCGCGTTATTCAATGGGCTTTGGTCATTCGGTGGCTGCGATTTGCTTTCTTCCAAGGTTAGAATGGAAATTCCATTTCGAATCTTCAATCATTCATTTTTCATTGATAGACTGCTAACTTCAAGCGCAATTATAAACTTGACGATGCTTTTGTTCAATCGTCGAGGTATTTCCGCTGCAAAGGATCTGGGGTTAGTCAATCGAAATAGCTAATGTAGTTTCGTTTTTTTTTGTTTTATTCCAACGCGTAAAATGAGAGTATCGTGTCAGGGACAATCAAAGCGCGCGCTCGAGTCTAATTAGGGCTGTGCATCTCGCTCTATTAATGATGATTATTGTTGAGTGGTCAGCATATATGTCCTTAAAAGACTTTGTCGTATGGAGTAATTTTCAAGTTGGTTAAGCTTTTTATTGTTGAGTAAAACGGCCCCTTTTTTGTCAATGAAGGTTTTTAGCTTTGTACAAGACATTAGATTGTGTGCTCATTGGTTCATTTTCTTCTCGTAAAAATATCAAGAATCAACTTTCTATCCTTAAGACTCTCTCTCTATAATTCATTATTACACTGAAAATTATGAAACGCAAATCGCATAACACCATAAATTGCAACAAAAATTCAGTGAATTGGAACGTGGAACATTATTTCTCATTGGGATGTCTTAAATGTACTTGTTTTCGCTTTTTCAAGACCCCTGGGCACACCGCAATATTGTGCGGGATTATGTAGGCACATAACTACGTTTGGAATTTTATAATAGCTTAATTTTACAATCAGTGAGTTGTTGGTTTATTTTTCCAAGAGAACTTTTTTACTGTAATATTTTACGAATCTTTATGAGATAATACAAGTATTTAGTAATGTGTGTTTACTAACTTTATTACGCACAAGGATTCACGACTTTAATGAAATAAAACGATGAGAACATCTTTGTCAGGTTGTTTTTACTGATTTTATTTATTCTCTAAGGCTTTATATTAATTTAAAACGACGTGCAAAATTTTTAATTGATAATATCGTAAGATATGTATCTTAAACGATCGAATGATTTATAACTTAGTTTCTTTTGCTTGTCAATCGCTAGAAATAATTTCAATTATTCTTTTTATTTCTTGCATCGAAACAAACATTAATTTATTATTTACTCTTGATTAGTACAAAAAATTGTAATTTTATTTTTTGACATTTTATATTAGTTCATTATGAGAGTTAGAAAACTTCAGTTTTCCGATTTTCACATCTCGCTGTAAGATCTCAACAGTCATCCTACTTGCCAATGCCAATACTCAAATCGAACATTACCCAACGTGAAACTTATTAAAATACACTGCACCGTAACCTAGGCCTCTTTTATACTCTCTCCCATCTCGTCCGTAACAACATTCAAATCAGAAAATTTGCAAGTCAACCTCGAAAACATTCCTTACGCAAGCGTCGTAAGGTTATTTTATTGCCGAGCGCGTCAGTAGCTCTCGCGGCGCGGATGATCCCGATAAAAGTAACAAAAAATAACAACGGAGCGTCATCTATATACTTATACATGAGGAGAAAATGACTTCCGACGCCAAGGATAAATCATCCCGTAACCCGCGGCAAGTTGCAGCTTGAACACTGAACAGCGGACTGATAATCCATCGGAGGTATTTATATAGATAAGAAACCCTCTTCGAGCTCGGTAGCTCAACGGTAATTCTTTCGATAATATTTGTTTCTAAAGCTAAAATTTATACTTTTGCACGATGCCTATTTATAGTGACGTTGAAGTTTCTCTTTGTCGTCCTTTTTTTATTGACATTTTTAAAACGCAAATTCGACGACTTTTTGATTGTTATTGAAACTAACATTTCCGATGAAAAATATAAAAGTTTATTCGGTGCGGACTTTCTTTTAATGCCAGAGATGTCGAACGAGAAAACAATCGTTCGTTATCGCATTGAAAACCAAATGTCTTTATAAAATGCTATACGGTTCATTAATGTCCACGTCAAGTGTTATAGCTATAAAGAGAAGGATGAATAGAAGAAAAAAGCAAATAGAGATAGTCTTGATAGAGCCTCATAAAAATCGCTGATTTAACGAGATTTACGATGTAGTTTGATAACATAATTGCAGAGCACTTTCACTGCATCGGCAATAACCCAACAACAAAAAAGAAGTGAACTCTCGTTTCGATAATAATATATATACCAAAGAAAATATTCGACGCTAATTAGTTGACTTATAAATGCATATCGCGAGGAGCCGTAGCAATGTTTTATCATTTTAGATCTCGTTCTCTGCGCACGTCGAATGCAATGGCTTTATCGCCTGCATCTAGATATATAGAAAATTGATCGTTATAAACGATCGATCCGCGCGTGCCCGTGCGCGCCCTTTGCAGTGTCAGCTTACAATGGGCAAGCGGCAACCACAGTGATTGTGAGCGGAAACTTGTTTCGCAAAAAGGATTACAGTAGGCTGTTAATTGGATTTAGGATTTTCGATTGCTTAAGCTTGAAATTTACAGTCACGGGATTTATCCGAAATATGCATTTATACATTACAAGGTATAATATTATTTTTATTTAAAAAATAAATTTCTGATCAAGGCTCGAAGCATGAAAGAGGTCCCACCCGAAGTCAGTTGCTGTGTAATCAGATCGAAGCACGCACGATCGTATTGGGTTATTGGTCGAAGAATTATTTCGTTTATTTTGTCTCATACATTTAATTTACAAGCTCACACTTGTATTAATAAAACTGCTTTTCATAAAATAATGATATACTGATAGTGAAATTACTCTTACACTGTTGTCGATAAAAATTCATACGTGAATTTCAAGTTTGGTAAGGCCGTTCGTTATTAAAAATTTACATAAAATATATGATTGGCGGGAAATCCAAGGATCAACACGATGTCGATTCGCATTAAAAATCTCAGTAAATTATCGATGTGCACCAGGATAAGAGAAATTTTGCTACGTGAATTATTCGTAACGCCTATCGAACCGCGCGCAAAGTACAATGACTCAAGAGTTACATATCGTAATTATCGAGTAAGAACTGATTCGACCAGAGGTGAGTCACGAAGGCTATCCGTTTTTCTTTCTCTATTTTTTTCTTGAGATCCCAACTCCCACGACGTCAAAAGTCGAGCACAAATAGGCTCCCAAAAGAATACAATGCTAAGAGGTGAAACTGAATAATCTAACACCGGCAGACCGCAAGAGCTGCCGCATGAAGAAAAAGAGATGAAAAGCGAATGCAACTCACGATCAGTTAGCGGCTGTGCGCGCATCCCGGCGAAAGAGAGATAAGTCGAGGTGAAAATAGTGAATGCGATAATGAGCTGCGGCTTGCGGACTATATATCCGATTTGCATACTGGATTTCGAGAGAGCGTAGCGTCTTCTGGTTGAGAACGAAGCGCGTGGGTGGGCCGTATCTTTAACAGCTTCGATTTCTTTTCTTTAGTATGGGCTTTAGCTTAGCTGGCTGGGGCGCTTTCTAATACGGACTATTCTTTCTCGATCCTCGCGTTGAACACTCGGTTTTTATTCTTCGAACGTATCAATCCTCGACAGCAAAAAAAAACAAATAAACAAAAACTTCCCGCAGTCTCTTCTCGATAACTCCAAAGAGAAGCTCAAACATTGATTTTTT